GTAATTTCACTTAAAATGAACACCACGTCTTAATGTTTGCATGGTTTTTCAAAGGGTTTTCATAAAGCATAATGAGTCTTTCATGTTCAGTTTGGTCCGAACGTCCGGACGGGTTGCATGTTAGATATATGTTCTATGTTGGAGGTTCCAAGTAGAATATGAATTAGGAAAACCTAACCTTTCAAAGTGGCATGTGTAGATCATAAGTAATTGGTAAAAATACATAGGATTGCTAGGTGATGGTGGAACGCTAGTGCTTTTATAAATTGGTATTTAAAACTCTTTTCTTTTATCATATTTGTTTTTAATTAAAATTCGTTTTTAATGTTACTCAAGTCTAAAATCTTTTTTCTCAACTTTTAATTTTAAGTATTTAATTAGGAATTGTTTCTGCATAAATTATCCAAATAGTCCTTGAGGAGAACGACCTTGCATGAGCATCTATATTGCAACATCTTTGTATTGTTACAAGTATTTCATGTGTTTTTATCCCTACTTTTGTAGATGGTAAAAAATGATATCAGTATGCATGCAACGTAATCGTACGTACCTTTATGTCTTTACCAGTGCCGAGTATTATGAGTCCCATTAAGCCTTTGGTGTTCATGAGTATCCCAAGTGCAAAACTATCCCCACGTGACATTTTGTACATCAAGCCGATGATATAATTACTCAAAATCTTCGGTATGTTAGCAAGAACGACAACCGCCACGACACGCCACAGGTTAGTATCTGCACGGCTGAACTTTGGATTTTCGTTGGTTAAAATGTAGCTAAAATTAGTTCGTAGCCCGACGGTTAAGAAGTATAGAGGCATCAGAAGGTGACTCACGAAGGTTTGGATCCTGTCAACCAGGACCTTCTTCAGCTCTCCACTAGGAATAATGGTTCCCAGCATAAAGGGTCCCAAAATGGAGTGCGACCCAAAATTGTCACTTACGTACCCGAAAAGCACAACCACCGACAGAATGAAGCGGACTTGCTGCTCGTTGTATCCGCTGCTATCGTTGTCGGCGGTTGTATTGCGGATGAACCACGGGATAGCCGGACGTAGTACAAAAACGCACTAGTAGTATGAATATCACGGCGCTCATGGCGCCGATCGATTGGTCAGTATATGCGGAAGTCATGCCCGCAAGGAGAAGAAACCAGGATAACACGTCCGAGATAACCGCCGACGACAAGGCGAGGCGGCCGAAATCAGAGTGGAGGAGCTTTTTGTCAGCGAGGACTTGGGCAAGGTCGGTGAAGTTGGTGGAGGCCAGGGCAATGCCCCAGAAGGCGTAGCCGTTGTCGTTGGCAATTTCCTCAGACAGTGCCCTACCATAATCATTGAAGAGTACGAAGCGATATAAAAGCCAACCCCAGATCAAGGAAACGAGACTGCCAACTACGGCAACGCTAAGAGCCTTTTTTCCAGTCCGGATTACAGGTACAAACTCAAGCTCTAAACCCATGATGAACATGTGATAGCCTAGCCCTAAGTTTGCCACGGTTTCTATGTTGACCAGGCTGAAGAAAGGGATTACGTATTGAAGAGCAAATATGATAGTACCAACGAATGCCGGACCCATCATCACGCCACCCTGTAATTAAATTATAATTTAGTCATATTTTTTTTATAAACGATAATGTTATTAAATTGTTCAACATAAGAAGAAGAAGATCAGTAGTGATCTAATCTGCACTAAAGTGTATAGACATTATTACTTTCCTCTACTATAGTATGCTCTATATGTGACAAATATATTCATATATATGCTGCCCATTTGTGACAGGTATATAACACAAGGAGTTCAAATTTTCAATTCTCATATGTATGGTAGCAGCCTGAAACTCGATTGTTAAAACTTAAATCTAATCCCTAATTTGCTAACAGCCTTATTAAGCTAATGTTATAATTTAAATTCAAATCTCGATTTCGAATAGCAGCCCCGAAACTGGAGAGTTCAACTTTAAAATCTAATCTCTAAATTGCTAATTAAGATACGATAATTTTGAACACACAAAATTAATACAGTAGCTAATGGTGTGTCAGTTTTGTATCTAAATAACTTTAATAAGAATTAAAAGAGTAAGAACATGTTTGAAAGTGCGTCAAAATCACTACAAACACCTCCATACTACAATATAAAAAAAAACAAAAAAAAAAAAAAGAGGTTTCTGACCGTATATGGTGAAAAAGTTAAAAGCTCTTATGTATTAAAAAAAAACACTTGCATTTTTATTAATCATTTCATATTGCTTCTATTTTTTTTTTTTGTCGAACATATTGCTTGTAATAGAAGCGCTGTTGCTAAAAGCGCTTTTACGCAAAAGTACTTTTTAAATAAGGATTTCTAAACGGGTGGTGTATGCAGCATAAATAATTAAATATTAAAAAAACACAATTTTGACCTGAAAAGCCTATTGAACTTGTATTGTAAATTTCAAATCATGAGTTCTTGGAGTTAGGCCTAGTAATTAAGAAATATGGAAAGAATATTTATCCTGCTTAATAGGAATAGCAAATTAATGAATTAATTAATAGGGACATGAACCGTAGAACTCACAAGAATATCAGAGACAATACGAGGTTGGTGCAAGGGCTTGAAGAGATGATAAAGAAGGCGAGTGATGGACATGGCGGCGATCAGCTGGACAATGATCATCGGAACAGATCTGAAAAATGTGCTCTGCACACGCCATATCTCTCCTGTCTTGTACACTGTCATGTTATAGCATATCTCCCAAGTACCTTCCTGAAATGAAGTACCTTTTGCTATCGCTGGTGGTAGCGCATGCACGCTTGGTTGTTCTTTCATACTTGGCTGAGTAAAATTGATCGTTAAATGGCTAATAAATAATACGACGCTAACAACTCGCTTGTTCTTTCTCTTGCAGTATTGATCTAATTAAATAGAGCAAAAAAGAAAGAAAACTGTGGCAAGGTCGCTTAGTTGTAACGTAAGGTGTAGATATCAATTTATACAAGGTGTCCTCTCCAATTATTGTTATTATTTGAGGGTGTTTGTTAATCTTAATTTTTAATCTTCAGCTATAAGCGGTTAGTTGTTAGTATTAACTCAATATTCATCATATTTACATGACCAACTAATTAACCCTCTTAACATAATCAACCAACTAATACCATCTTCAATATTTCGTCTTAGAAGCTGTTCTGTTTTCCTCTCTTTCTCTCTCTCTCTCTCTCTCTCTCCATATATTTCTGTCATTTGTTCTTGAACATTCTTCGTTCGGAGATGATTTATATGAAATATAACGGGTGCTTGAGTTCTACACAATCTGTCAGATACCTGGAGAGTCAGATTTTATTTTTCTCTTCTTTTTCAACAGAAAATTAGAAGGACGTATGTCAACAAATTAAGTAATCATATCAACAGCTGCATTTGTTGAAATGACGAATACCTGTTTAGATGCCAAAACAAAATCTGGCAACATCTTTGTTGAGGGATAATATTGCGAGGGTGGTTTCACAGCTAGAAAGTTAAAGCCACCAGGCATCGTAAGGGAGACCTCAAACAATGTAATTGGATGCTCAAGAAATCGTTGAATTTGTTAGTTGATCATTTAACGGAGCCTACCACTGGTGTGAGTATGCCGCGCAGTCAGCTAGTCCGATAATTTTTGGCATTCAAATTTCTTCTTACATAGGCCACAAAAAGGAGAAAGATATGACATGGGTAGACCACCACAGTGAATTATTGACATTTCATGTCAATAATATAAGAATAAGTGATACATATCTTTAGATTATTAACATGAGACCCCATTTAATAGTGTATGATTGCCATACAAGTTACTCCCCACAAAAACATATACTTTGAGCCATACATTGATATAAGGGACTACATAAATCTGCGCATCAATTCCATATTAAAGCTCCTGCAATGGGGAAAACAGATAAAAGATTGTCCCCCACATTACACGTGTACAAAACACGACTTCTCTATACAATGCCAAGTGTTTTTATAACAATTTCTTTTTGTGTTTTGATATATAAGGTTGAGAGTTAACTAGGACATATCATTTTCTTTCTAATAACGTAATGAGTGTTGTAAGACATATCTATCCTTGGGACAACCAAGTATCTCCCCTTGTCTCTAAAAAAAGTCCTCCCAGCCACTTAGCACTACTATTTATTAGTATTTTTCTTTACTTGTAAGTGAGAAGTCTTAAGTTCGATTTTCGTCAAAGAAGAATTCAAACCAAATTATTATGGCTAACTCATTGTGAGGCTTAGCTCACTTCCTCACCCCTTAGTATAGATATTATCATATAGTATAAACATAAAATTCTCCCCATTAGAAATTTACTTTGCTTCGCATGTCAAGTACATGGACTCAATTAGAAACCGGAACTGATATTTACACTCCTATTTTTTTCCTCCCTCACTCCTCAATTTAATTCTATTCATTGATTTTGCTTTTACTACTCAATGGTACGGCTAGGGGCAGAAAGTCCTTAGTGCTAAAAGAGAGTGTAAAAATCATTTCCTTTGCATATCTTTTTTTTTTTTTTTTAATATATCGACATTTTTACATTAAATAACATACAAAGAGGAATGTTTGATTCTTAAGATTAAGAAGAAGTTTCTCCTCAAAATATATTATGGCTGATTTACAAAATTTCATGTTTATGATAGAAACTTTTAATATTGTAAGTTGTTATGTAGAGATCGTCTCTAAAAAATCAATTAAAATAAGGTGGTTTAGTTAATTAACTTTAACAAATAGATAGACGGCTCGCAATACATTTATTGAATCCAATCATCTGAGTTATATAGCTTGATGACAAAATGATCTCATATCTATTAAATTTTTGTAGAGACATCTTTACAAAGTGATATTTAACATGAACAGATCATAAACACAAATTTTTGTGAATTAGTTAGAAAAAACTTTGACCAAGAACTTCTCATTGATTGAGTAGCCAAGTTTACTGGCACACTTACCTGCAGTTATTTTATAAAAAGCAAGATGAATCGATGATAACATTATCCACTACGAGCGGAAGAGCTCAGTTGTTATCAACTTATCATCATGGCAAGGCTTCTCATATCCAACACAGCCTCACTCACTCTCTCTCCTCCACCCGCCCCACCCTCACGTGCTTCATTCATCCCTCCGCACGTGCCCATATCGCCGGCAACACGTTTTCCCGGCCGGCAAACCAGAGGCCTAGAGGTGGTGACACGTGCGGGGCCCACCACAAGCCAGTACGTGTTCGCATTCGTTTTGCCGCTCTCTCTGATCGCCGTCACCGTTTTCACTTCCATCAGAGTCGCCGATAAGCTCGACCGAGACTTTCTTGAAGAGGTTCGTCGAATTTCTGCAAGTCGGTTTTTTGATTTGCATGCTGTTTAATGCTTTTGAATATTTGAATTCGCGTGATGATTCAAATGGACAAGGTTGCCAATGTATATATATGTGAGTGCGCGCGCCTAATAAATGCTGTTATTGCATTCATATTGCATATGAATTAACTCGGAAGAGTCAAGTGCTTTCCGACAATAAAAAATGCTTCTGACTGCGTGTGTGGCAGTAGAAGCGCTTTCTAGAGCAGGTAGTGCTTTTCAAGGAACGAACGTACGAGGATTTTTCATATATTTTTTTTGATATATTTATGAGCAAAAGTGCTTCCTACGGTAGCAATCCCAAACGCACTCAATCTGTCTTTCTTTGTTCTGGATGAATGATTTCTTCTGTAGTCATAGTGTTTGTGTTCTTGATGTAGATGGCAATTAACCAAGCGATCCGGGAAACGGATGAGGAAGGCGAAGCTGACAAGTCGATAGAAGAAAAGCCTGCACTTTCCCGTACTCGCAACCGGCCCAAAAGGGAAGTCTAAGCTTCATTTTCTTGCTCGGTAAAGCTTTAGTTTTGTACTTAGATCAGCCTGCGGCCGTGCATTACGAATCTGTCAATGTTAGCATTTTATGGACAAGCTTTTGAGAACAACACCTTCTCTTCCTCGAGAATAAGAGCGAAAGGCGAGTTTGAAGGTGATCCCCGTGAATGCGTGCGCTGTGTATTTTGTGTGTAGAAAAAGAAATATGGAATGAACAACAGGCAGAGAACATTTTGCTATTAGTGTTTCCAATATGAATGCCTTTTGTTTGCCAAATGGGATTGTAGAGAAATAATCCTTTCATATTCACGTAAGATAGTTGTTGGTCTATTGATACTTCTCTTCTCAATATTAGACGACGGCCCTAATTCAAATCAATGCATTTATGCAAGGATATGATCGAATACATGAAATTAGCAATACAATTGCAGTCACAATTTCTCTAGACAGATTATGAACACTATATATCTGGAATCTTCGACCGGTCATTAAAAATTTCAGGGTACCTCGCTCCTGCAATCTGGAACTGCTTCTCTTCTTTACCCTCACAGATGAATTTGTATATGCTGCGTCTTTAGCACCAGAAGAGTTGTTAACTCCCACTAGGAAACGATACTTGCGTTAGTTTACAAGCAACGACCAAACTGAACGACCAGCAAGCCAACATACAGAGTCTCAACCAGGGTCTCTGAGCCAAATTGCCAAATTGTACACTGAAGACTGAACCTCTAAATCATAACGAGACCACGGGCGATAAAGTTGTAGAGAAACAAAGAAAGCAGGCTAACCACATTCAGTAGAATCATACTGGTGAGAAATACACTTGCTGAGCAACCCGAATGACAACCTGCCAAACCAAAAAATCTAGCTTCCATAAGAGTTCACTAGCCTCTCCTACTATTTAGCTGTATGCATTTCTACCATCTTGTAGCTGAAGTAGGTTAAAAAACAGATTTTTCTTTCGGTGGCTGCATAATAATTTGAGTCCTAGACTTTCTGATATAAAAAAAAATAGTAACAATAATATGATTGACAGAATAGAAAGACGCATCACCACTTATAGACGGATGAAGTTTCGAAGTAAACATAGCCCATCAAAAACTGCATGCAGGGCTCTCTGCTACTGAAAACTTTTCAACCCATCATCTCCGCCATTTCGGATTTGCATTATTGGCAATAACTTGAAGTTAACGTGAACACTTCTTTGTATTTGATCTCTAATCCCAAAAGATGCCGAACTAAAAGCAGAACGAGCAAGAATCAGCTAACTAAAACAAATCAACTGAACATAAACTGTAACAGCATTGCGGCAAAGGTTTAAAACAAGGCTTTACAGTACAAAACTAACCTGGAATATTCATGAGACACCCAAAAAGCAAACATCATTGGCAATGACAGCTAACAAAATGCCCCACCAAAAAAAAAAAAGAAAAAAACCGGTGTACTTCCTCCATAGATGCATCCTAAATGGAGTGTTCTCACCACTCTGATACAATCCATGCATTATAAGCAAATTGCAACAGAAGGAAAGTCCAAGGTAACCAGTGACTTCAGTTCCTGCCTTTATGGTTTATAGTTTCATCCTGACAGCAGCTTAGAACCCTTTGCTTTCAACTTTTTTTCTAATCCAAAAAACTTCAACCCAGACACCACCAGATCTGCGGTCTTCTTCTTCATGTGTTCAATTAATACTTCATTATACACAATCATGTTGGCTTCTGTTAAAATATTGCGCTCTTTCAAATTTGAAAATATTTTTCTTGCCTCCTCTATTGTGCCATGCTTACACATGGCAGAGATTATAGCTGAGTATACAACATCATCTGGAAGACAACCCTGCTGCAGCATCTTGTTTATCACCTCAACCAACTTCTCAGCATTATTTGATTTACGTGCATGGAGAATGGTAAGAGAATACTTGAATCCTATGGACCCACTTGTCACGCTGGCTAAGCGGTCATGAACTAACAGCATAACTGCATCGATCTCTCCAATTTTGCAAAGTCCTCTAGCAAGCGAACAGTAGGCAGCAATCGAAGGAACACAGGACATCTCAATTATCTTATTATAACAGGCACAAGCTTCATGGATGTCACCATCTTCAACAAAACACATTATGCCAATGCTATAAGTACAGGAGTGGGACTGCAAATCCATATCCTTCATTTCATTAAAGAGAGACAATGCTTTCTTTATTTCCCTAGATTTTTGGAGGGCCTCCATAAGGATATTGTAGATTCCTAAACTATAATAACCATTAACTTTCAACTCTTCAAACACTTCCAAAGCCATCGTTACTCCATCCTCCTTTCCTACCATAAAGGAGAAGAATTTCGAAAGATCATCAATTACAGGAAAACCAATTTCTCCATCTGTGCAAGCATCTCGTATAACTTATCCATTCTTCTTGTCTCATTGTAGAACACCAAAATGGGATTCACCGTAGCAAAATCTGGCTGAAGACCCTCTTGAACCGTAACTCAGAAAATCTTCTAAGCCTTATCAACCCTCTTCACATTACATAAACCCTCGATAAGAGAATTATATATCCCCAAATCTGCCCTATACCCCGAATCCACCAAATCACGAGCCACCCCAACCTTCTTGTCTGCCACAAACCCCTCAACCAAGACCCCATAAATTGCTCTATCAATCAAGAAACCCTTTGCCTTCACCTCCCTAAACAACTCGTACCCTTTCTCCACCCTTACACAACCCTGTAACCAGAGTTTCATATGCCATAGGGTCTGCCTCAACCCTATCTCTCGTCATGTCCTCCCAAACCCTCAAACACCCATCCAAGTTTCCCTCCAAAAGCAAAACCTTAATCATTGCTGTGTATGCAAACACGTCCGGTTTGCACAATTTCACCCTCATTCTCTCCAAAAGCTGCAACATTTCATCAATTCTTCCCATTTTACACATACCCTTTATTAAGATCATGAAAGTAACACTCTCCTCCACCAATCCATCACCACGCAAATCTTTGTAAACCGATAAAGCCAAATCCAAATAACCGGTTTTCGCCAATGCATCCATGATCCTATTGTACAAGAAAACCCTAGGTTTAACCCCAACTTTCTTCATTTTTTTATACACATAATAAATCCTAAGACCTCTATTGGCATCAGCGTGCATTCTGATAAGAATCTCAAACTGTTTCTCGCTGGGCAGTTTGCCCTGCAAGTCCATCAGCTCGGGGACTTGGTCCGCCGACTGGAACCGGTTGGACCGGTTCAGGCAATAAGCCAAGGCATTGTATGAAGCACAAGTGTGCTTGAAACCCTTTTGCTTACCTGCCCAGTGGAAGTACTTGGAGGCTGAAACGGGGTCGACATGGACCTTGAGCACCTTGGCAACGAGGTCGGGTGTGACCCGGCGAAGCTTCCGGAGCTCCGAGACGACTGGAGGGTCGTGTCGTCGGGGTTGGGCGATGAAGTGGAGGGCAAGGAATGGGGCAGGTGTGGGTCCCACTTGGAGAGATCGAAGGGTCGGGATTGAGGGGCGGTGCTGGGGTGTTTGGGATTCGGGTGAGAGACGCGGTTTGAGAAGAGGCTGCCGCGGACGGTGGGGCGGTTCTGTGCGGGCTTGCGGTGGCCGTGGAAGAAGGTGAAGTTTTGGAATTTAGGTGGTGGGGACTGAGGTGGCATTTTCAAAATTTGTTACTATTGAGGTTCCAAGTTACAACTGACTTTTATAAAATAAAAAAATATTATCGAGGAACTACTTGTATACTATACAGAGATGAAAAATTGTATTCTTGCAAAAGAAGAAAGAGCATTCGAAGAGAGAGAAAGAGAGAAGTTTAGACAGAGAAAGGTATTCTTCACTATTTTTCTTAACTAATTACAAAGGTAGTTATGAGAAGTATATACAAGATGATTACACATGTAACTAGATTGCTCTCGTTCAAAGCCAGAACATTTGGTATCCGTTTGCACATCAGGACGGTAAGCGGATACCATATGTTCGGATACCAATTGCGTGATGCTATAAGCGGAAAGCTGCTTTTGAACAAAGCGATACCACACATGTTCGGTTACCACTTGTGTGAGCTATAAGCAGAAAGCTGCTTTTAAACAACGCAGAAAACCAAACAAGCATTCAAAAGCAGAAAATCAAACACAGCAATATCCAATCAAAAAATTTATAAACTTTGCCAGTCAATTTAGTACTGTGAGCTTATCCAGTAAACACTACACGTATCTCACTCCTTTCTGGGAAAGTAGCTGCAGGGCAACGGCCTGATAATATAACATCAAGGAATTGTACAATGATACATGCTGCAAAAGTTGAGAGTAATCATCAAAATTCAAAACCCTCAACACGATAGATTGATCCGATAGATTCTGTTCACAAACCCGGAAGGTCGGAAGATCCATCGAATTGCATTCTGTGGAAGAACATAATTACCCGTTTCCTGTCGCAGATGAGATAACAGAAATGATATACATATACTATGTAGAACATGCCTGCATATCAGCTTCTATTACGACCAGCTGGTGATTCAAAACACACGAACAAAAAGCAACCCCTTGTTTTTTATCACTCGCTACTCTTAGGCGAAACTGACCCTCTTTCTGTTATTTTCCCTACTCCAGTAGTTACCTGTTTGATAATCACTCCCTTGCAATCTTGAGCCTTTATAGCCTGATCTATACTGGTGAGGGTGTCCCCTCTTATAGCCACCATCGTTCCTTGCTCCCCGACCACTATTTGTTATCCCAAAATCCAAATTATTTTTCTGGTTATTATGGCTCTCCCACTGTTTCTGACCCCATTCATCTCCTCTACGATCTCTCCATTCTCTATCTTTTAGAGATTTGCTGTTTTGACTAGGACCATACTTCCAAGAATTTTCACCACGACCCAAGTTCTTTGACTCCTGGTCGCAGCCCCAAGAATTAGACACCGGATCAGCCCATCTACTACCTTTCACAGAGGCAACATCCTGACAGCCTCCTTCCCAAGGATTGACACCATTATCCCAACTCTTTGGCACGGTGATACCGTCCTCCATCTGGTTCCATCCCCGCGACTCATTCCTTCTATCTTCCCATGCATTCTTCTCCGTCTCAGTAGTTCCATTGCCCTGAGTAATTCCACGTTCCCAAGGGTCGTCACGATTAGTTTTCCACTGGTTCCTGCCTGGAGCTTTATTTATCAAATGTCCACTACCCTGAATGTTATCACATTCCCAAGAATTTGTATGAGTATCGGGGACAGTGTTATGTTCATCGGGAGGAACAAAATCTGAATATTTTGCCCTCTTGTTTGTTTGCTCAATCTTGCCTTGCCCTTCTCCCTCATCAGGAGCAAAGTACTCTCGATCCACTTCCTTAATGAGTGCAGGATCGATGTTAGGGTTCCAATCTATTGCATCAATATAAATATTTGGATCAGGCAGAGATGCGTCAAAGGGGAGACCATTGATGTCTGCCCAAAAGCGCTTTTTTGCATTTTGAAATGCCTCCTCTGCACCTGAGTCATTCCAATTGAGTATAATACTACTTCCATACATATAATTTTTTGCATCTACTACCTTCCACCATGGTATAGACCCAACCAATGTGCAGTACTGCTTTTCCCAATAAGGTATACCATCCTGCCGACTCCCTATGAATTAAAAAAAAAAGAGTATTAAAAATTCAAGTAATATCCAACGCCATTGGTGCTGCCGGAACTCCAACATAAGTTGAGGGCATTTCATGACAAGGAATGACTCTTACAATGACGAAATTATTAAGACATACAGAATTAAGGCACAAAATGTCCTGTGCCACATGACCAACAACAAATAAAAGGAAAAGGAAAACAGAAAGTAGAGCACACACATCTCTAACAACTTTAAGAAAAATCTATTTGAACAATTTCAAGAATCTAAGCAGTTTTGATAGAAACCTTACAACGCACGAGACAGAACTAGTTATGTTATGGTTTCTTCTTTTCTTCACAACGAACTGTTAATGGAACCGAAAAGCCTACGACAACTCGAAATAACGAAAATTTGTATCCACAGATAACAAAGATCTAGAAATGAAATAGCCGCCTTTCGAAACAGCACATAACACACATTACTACACAGGAGCCCAGTAAAATTTGGAGTATAATGTAGAATCTGTATCCAATTACCGGTCTTTAATCCAAACGAGTGTCATATAATAAGTTCTTTCTAGCATTGCCCTCCAATGTTATCAAACCCACCATACATTTTCAATAATTTTCTCAGTTGAACAAATAAACAATCAAAAACATCAATGTTCTCATAAGTCGATATTTTCTCGGCAACCAAACATAAATCACTGTTTCATTACATGGAAAAAAGGGTAAAAATTGAAACGATAAAAACCCACCAAGAAAAACCCACAAAAACCAACAATTTAAGAAGAACCCAATTCAATTTTAATCGTAAGATACACAAAAAAAACAAAAAAATAAAATTAATTTTACCAGAAGGAGGAGGAGGTTGAGGGTGAAATGGCAGAGGCGATGGGTCCGGAAGCTTTTCCTGACGGCAGAATCTACGGCGGGGACGATGAATCCACTTGCCCATTTGCTCAATTCCAACAACACATCCACTGAGAGGCAGGGAAATTGGATTCAAATCAAGAAAATCTAGCGTTCAGAAGTACTATTGCAGGATCTTCACCTTTTTGCACAGAGAGAGAGAGAGAGAGAGAGAGAGAGAGAGAGAGGATTTTATAGTTGAGAGCAGTTGAGTTCAGAGGGAGGATAATGGGCTTCAGTTGGGAAGATGGTACGCTGTAGTCTGGCAGGCGGCGACTCAGGAGGTTTTGACAGCGGAAATGGTGGAAGTCGGTGCTCTACTCGATCCGCTATTCAGGCCCATCTTTTAGGTCCAACGGAGTCCACTGGCTGATGACCCAATTTTAGGCCCAGCCCAAATTTTAAGTTTAACAACTAGCACTGGGCCCACACAAGTGGTGGGCGAAAGTTATCTCTCTTTCCTTAAAACGTGGGGACATTTTTTTGTTAAATTACTTTAATGTCCCTGATTTTTTTCTTGATATTTATTTCTTTCAATCATGCATGGAAGGTATAATAGGGAAAAAAATCATCATGACACAAGGGAATGGGAAGCTCAATAGCAACCCATAAACTTTACAAATAGGGGCATTTCATTGATAACGATAGAAAGAGCGGTCCACATAAGCCATTAAAACCAAAATAAGAGCACTCTAACTAACACGAATAGGACCGGATCAAACATCGCTCTATTAGTTATCTTTAATTTTTTATTGACAAATAAAGTTTTATTAATAGAAAGTACAGATATTTGACAAAAAAATTGAAAGTATTGTGAAAACACTTTTTGGAGGAGCACCTACAATGCGCTACTCCAAGAAGTACTTAAGGCCCGATTTGAAGTGTTTATGTAAGAAATACTTACACTCATGAGCACTTTTGGCTAGAAATTCAGTTTTCAGCCAAATATAATAAAAACACTTTTAGTTATTAAAAAACACTTTTAACACGTGCATAAATAGTCCCAAATAAGTCATTACATATTTTTTATGATTGTTATGTGATTCTATTAGAAATGCTTTCTAAACAACATTTTTAATCGAACTAGCATTTAAAAGTTAGATAAAAACAAAAATTAAAGTGCACAAACTCACAACATTGTAACAATAGTGCTATAAAGATCAAATTTAAACAATAGAGCTATAAAAATCAAATTTAATATCTAATTCTTACTTAAATCAACATGAAGTATGCCTTACAAAAGAATCTCAATTCCCATGTTTTTCTTTAAAAGAAAAATGATTAATATGAATTGCATGTATAGATTTTTAGTTAGCCTACCTAGTCTTGTAATTCTACAGTTCTTGAGTAAAACATGCATACAATCTAGTAAGGCGTTTTAGTTAAAATGGTCCCTGAGATTTGCATAACACATAACTTTGGTTCTTGAGATTTAAAATCAATAGAAGTGGTCCTTGAGATTATCCATTATCCATTATTTTGGTCATTCCGTTAATAAACTCCGTTAAGTTGAGGGTATAAAACATAACTTTAGTCCCTAAGATTTGCATAACACATAATTTTTGTCCCTATGATTTGTATAACACATAAATTTGGTCCCTAAAATTGTCCACCGTCCATCATTGTGGCCCTTCCATTAAAAAGTTTAGGGATCACTTAATGGAGTTTTTTAATGGAATGGCCAAAATAATGGATGATGGACAATCTCAAGGACCACTTCTCTTGATTTTAAATCTCAATTACCAAAGTTATGTGTTATGAAAATCTTAGAGACCATTTTGACTAAAAAGCCATCTAGTAATTATATAGGACCATAGGAGGAGGCTTAAGAGTTAAGAAGTGTTTGCCTCACTAGTTAATTTGTAAAAAAAAAGGCACGAGAAGATTGTTAAGGTATATGCATTTACTTAGTACATTTGTCTTCTAACGGTTAAACTTACAACTCAAAAATAAAATAATTTATATTTAATCATATCTAACTCTTAATATATTGAGTAAATTCATATACCATAGCCAAACCCAAGAATGTAAATATGACAAGACGACTCCTTAGAGAGATTTTTCAGTCTACCCAAATCACAAAGTAGTACATCACATGTTATTGTATAATTAAAGAGATACTTGAAAAAAAAAAAAAAAGACATTTTCTACTAATTGTATAATAACATGTAATGTACTATCTCACGTTCTGAATACACTGAAAAATCTCCTGTCTCTTTGGGCCCTTCAACAGCTGTCCTCCCTCTCTCACACAACCTAATAATAAGTATTGTTTCCTTTGTTTTTTCCCCCACATTGGCACATTCTCTCATCTCATGCAGATTTGCACATTGTGACTCCCCCACTTCCTTCAATAATTCCTCTCTCTCTCTCTCTCTCTCTCTCTCTCTCTCTCTCTCTCTCTCTCTCTCTCACACAATAGTGGTGGGGTGTGTGGATTTGGGAGCAGTCTATATCCGCCTATTCTTTTTCTATGACTCTAACGCTTAGTCACAAATGTATACATTAAAGTAGTTGCGTATGGTACGTTATCTTTAAGCTTTGAGTCCCACAAACTTCCAACTAATTGGTACAACACTACTGTTTTGTGAGACTGACTAAGATATTACTCATCCCGCATAAAAAATAACGAACCAAAGTTCTAGTCAACAAGGAAAAGGAAATATCCAAAGCTTCCACTTCAACCAAATAAGAGAGCCTCTGGCACAAGAACGCTGTCACAATTGTGTCTTACATTAATAATACAAAAACATGTGAAGAGAAATTAATACTACGTATTCTTGTATTATTGGAATGGAACGTTAACGTAAGAGTTTATTTGCGCCATAAGAGTATTTGAACAGAATGAAGATTTAGATTCATCCCAAGAATTGAGAATGGTGAAGAGTTTTCGCACAGTGTGTTTTAAACCTTTGTCCTGATAGTTGGTAATAATGTCACATCAACTATAGTTTGTTTATTAAGTGCTTTTCGCGCTTATTTTCTCCTTCTACACTGTACATGTAATTATTTATTTTGTTTTGAGTGATTTTCACGCTCATTTTCTCCTTTTCTTTCTTCTCTTGACTTGTAAGTGAGAGGTTTTATGTTCAATTATCGCCAAAGGTAAAGTTGAACCATATTATTATGGCAAGTCCATTGTAAGGCCTAGTCTACTCCCCTATCCCTTTAGTTTAGATATTATTGTTTGTTAAAAAAAATTAAAACAAACACGGATGTCCAAGGAAAGAGAATGATTGTGTGAAAATCATTCTCCTTAATTTTTTTTGTTTTGTTAAACGATAGATTTGTTAGATTAGATGTTAGTTAGGGAGCCAACGGGATTCGAACCCATGTTGTGGTGCAAGAACAACACTCTTCTCTATCACTGTGGTAGATGGTCACTTGCCTAAAACAGAAACAAAAGGAAAGAAAAATAAACGATGGCAAGATAGTTTTAGTGGTTAGCGCTTGAAACTTGTACCTTATCATCTAGTTAACCTCTTTCTCTCTATAATCACATACAATTGTAATAAAAAAGGGGGGACCCCGTGCTGGGGAGGAGGAGGGGAGGGTTAACTTTAATCATTGAAGAAGTTTGAAATTTAAAATAAATCTGTTGTTAGATTACATATTGATTATAGTCCCTTGATGTGTCCTTAATTCAAAATAATTAATGTGTATTTTATTTAATATCTCTTATTAAATATTTAAATTTATTAATATACACATTCTAATTTATTTTTTGACCAATATTAATTTTATTTAACATTCTTCAAACTTAAAAGATTCAATTAATGTACCTAAATGTTAGTACTGAAATGTATTATATTGAATTAATGTATTTAAATGTTAGTACTGAAATGTATTATATTAAATTAATGTACATAAATGTGTGTACCGAAATGTATGCATCGAAATGTTAATACTGAAATGTATGTATTGAAATATGTGTACCTAAATGTTTGTATTGGAATGTATGTACCAGAATGTGTGTACCTAAATGTATGCACTGAAATGTATTATAATGAATTTAATGTACCTAAATGAAGAAGACCAAGTATATCGAAATATATTATATAACAAAAATTAGTTTATCTAAATGTTTACAACAAAATATATTACAATGAATGAAATGAAAAATTAATACATTAAAATTAGGAAGAAAAAGAGAAATAATTAAATCATCAAAATGTAATTAATAAATGAGGTGATTAATGTATCAAGGAACTAAAATTAGATTTTTGATCTTACTCATGATTTTAATCTAAAAGTTATCTTTGCTACAGATTAAAATGAAATTTCCTAAAAAAAGGAAAAAACTCTCTCCACGTCAGCTAAACTGACCATAGCTAATGTGGCATAATCACTAGTTATCCTTGTAAAATATTCAGTTTGAAATTTGAAGTGCAGAATTCCACATCATACATGATGGATTGCAGTTGCATGGTATCAAAACTGACACAAGTAAATGATGGGGATATTTCAGTAATTTGATTCCTGGGAGACATTTGAACATGTTTTGCTGCAGCAGCTGTGAAAATGGAGGGCTGGAGAAAGATGAGAAGGCCCCATCAAAAGCGTGCTTCTCATAATTCAATACGACCCTCTCTGGCTCCCTTCCTCCCTCCATGAACACATACTTAGGTCCACTGAGTGAACAGAAGAAACTCATCATCAACAAGAAGAATATACACGTATATGTGTGTGTGTATTATGTGAATTATAGTGATTCGACATGAAAAATAGTGTCAGCTAGGGGTGCAACTTGGGTTGGGCCAATCCGAACCCGCTCATGTCTAACTCGACTTTAAATCCAAACAAACGAATTTTTTTTTAGTTATCACCCATCTGAACCTAACCCGATTTCAATCCGTTCATTAATTGAGTTGAATTAGATTGATCATTTGATCAACCCAACCAACCCAACCCGATTAACCAAACCTAATTGAGTTGAGCTGTGCAACATGCTTCTGAATGACCTTTGCACCTTCGCGCCTTCATAAGAACCTACTGATATGATATACAATTTGACTTGAAAGTAATCACATTGAGTTTGTTCTGCTTTTCACATCACATCACATCCTGTAAAACAACTGCCTTTATTAAATTAATATTGCAACTATTCGACCTCTCTTTGAGATCTGCTTCACAGTTTGAGTTGTGATTGTTTCTTTTTTTTTTTTTTTTTTTTTTTGAACGCCAGTTGTGATTGTTTCTTATGCTGCTTTCTTGTGCCGATTCAGACGAAGCAGGCTATTGAGCAAGTAAATTTGAGGGAAAGTGATTTAAGGTCAGTTGTTTGCTAATACAAATAGGTTGATGTCTTTGTCGATGTATACATGCATGTGCGGGTCCTTTCAGAAACATAGGATTTAAAATTCGATGTTGACGCCTAATTAAAACTTGAAAAAGTTGGACAACTCAAACTCAACCTAAGTAAATCCGAATCCGATTAAATCCGAGCCCTAATGAATCCGATTAAAACCCAACCCAAATCCGATCTCGAATTGTAAAAGTTGGGTTAAGATTGTGTTGACCTTCCAACCTACCCGAGTTGCCCCCTAGTGTCAACTGTTGATATCCGACGCCCTCCCCCTCCGTCTTTTGATTGAAAAACAAACATACCCTCTTCAAAATTTAGATTGTCTTATCAACTTGGAAATTTAACAGGACCTTCTTAGGGTCTGATTACTCAGTTTCCAAATAATAAACAATTGTTTCTCTTCCTCCTTCCCCCAACAACTTTCCTAATGAACACCCTTTCCCGTATACTTATACCAAGTATATGAAATTATGAACTTTTGAGTGCATTCTAAGTGATCTTCCCTGCACTTTATAAAAGTGGCATTCAAATTCCTAGTTGCTGATGCTGTGATTCGTGTTCGCTAATCGAATGGCGCGATTTTCGGGAGAGGGGTGAGATTCTGTTTAGATCTCAGTTTCACAATATCTGCATAGAATTTAGTAAATTTACCATTTTTGGTGACTGTTTCAAGCTATGATGTATAATTTCATTCGCTTAATTTGGTATTATTTGCTTGATTGTTTGTGCAAATGGATCATTGCTTCTGCAAAACCAACTTCATATATTCTTCCACTCAGTGTGGTGTGATGTGATCAATCTGGTTCATCAATGGCAAAGAAGAGCTGGCTCAGTATAGTAAAGAGGTTCTTTGTTTCAGACACACAATCCAAGCAAAAAAATGTAAGCATTCTGCTTGTCTGCTCTTTTTATTTTTTTTTATTTGCAGTCTGGGAAGTGATTTTCGCACACCGATGTTTATTTCTCTCTGTTAAGTGTATATTTATTTATTCAATCCAAAGATTAGAGAGAAACACGAGTATGCAAAGGGAAAAAATGGTGTATGTAAATCGCTTCCTTTAAGGTTTTGAGTTTCAGTCCTCATTAATTAATTTGCTCAATTATTTTAAGGAGAAGAGAAGAAGATGGATTTTTGGAAAGCTTAAGATCAAAGGACGACCCTCACTAACAGCACCTTCACCAACATCGCCGTCGAAAGAGAGGACACGAAACGAGGCAGATGAAGAACAGAGCAAGCATGCAATGTCTGTGGCTATTGCCAGCACTGCTGCTGCAGAAGCAGCTGTTGCAGCAGCTCATGCTGCTGTTGAGGTTGTACGGCTCACCGGCACCCAACCATCTTCTTCTGACCAATGTTTGAAGGAGGAGGCAAAAGTGTTGTCAGTCACTACAGCTCAAAGAAAGGCAACTGAAAGGGTACAAGAGTTTGCTGTTGTCAAAATACAAACTGCCTTCAGAGGTTACCTTGTGAGTTTAATTTCTCTCTCTTATACAAAAATTACATTATTTTTTATCAGTTTTTGCTAAATGGTTTCTGAATCGTTCTGCTATACGTCCATGTATGGTATACATCGCATTTTAAGCGACTTAGACTCGCCTATTAACTTATGTCATACATTGACGTCTAGATTTTTTTTCAGTTTGAATTGGTATTGGAAGTTCGAGAAACATGGAAATTAATGTTACATCTTATGCGAACATTGCAGGCAAGGAAAGCTTTGAGAGCACTGAAGGGTATAGTGAAGCTACAAGCCATTATCCGAGGACGGGCTGTGAGACGCCAAGCAATGACTACGCTCAAGTGCTTGCAGTCCATAATAAACATCCAATCGCATGCCTGCGCAAGGCGACTCCAAACCATTGAAGACGCTTACTATGGTGATGAACACAATGAGTTTGAAAACTTGAGAGACAAGATAATAAGGGTAGGTCTCGCAAATGGCTTTCACAATGTTAGCAAAAGAAAATGTGTTCCTTTTCTCCATTTAGGGAAATCTTTGCATAATGTGATATTTGATGAAATTGTGAAATTTTTAGATGGATTCAAACAGCGAAAGAAGGTGGGATGACAGCGTTACTTCACAGAAAGAGGCAGAGGCCATGTTTCTAAGCAAGAAAGAAGCTATGCTCAAGAGAGAACGGATAAGGGAATACTCGTATAGTCATCGGGTACGCTTCTCTACTTTATAATCTTCATTTTGTTTCTCCTTTAAGATGACAAGTGATTTCCGCAATCGTTTCTCCATATACCCTTGTTTATTTTTGCCTTTGGATTGAATAAATCAGAAGAAAATCAAGGGACGTAAATAAATAGGGGCATACATAAGGAGAAAAAAAGGCGTGTGAAAATAATTTCACTATAAGAAATAGCTTCTCCTACTAAGTTGTCTACGAAAGTATTTTGCAGAAGTCAGCAGAATCAGAGAGAAACAAGGTGAACGGAAGATGGAGATACTGGTTGGACCAATGGGTAGATACACAACTTACTAAAAGTAAAGAGCTTGAGGACTTGGACACAGTTTTTGCTTCAAACGCAAGGCAAAAAGAGGAATTTGGAGAAAAACAACTTAGGATGAGAAACTTTCAGAAACAAAAAATTCAGATCGAAGGAATGGATTCTCCGGTTTTTGTTCCAAGAAGATCTTCTTACCACAAAAAGCAGTGCTCGTTAGGGGATGAGAATTTGTTCGCAAGCTCTCCTGTTGTTCCAACTTACATGGCTGCAACAAAATCTGCCAAGGCAAAAACAAGGTCTCTAAGTTCCCCCAAGGTAAGGGCAGGGAATTTTGATACTTGTTCAGAAAGCTACTCGCCATGCAAGAAGAACATCTCTCTTATATCTTCTGTAGTCAGTGAAATGCCGATAAGCAGTAGTACCGCACGAAGAATGGGAAAGTCCAGTAGTCTCCAGCAACGATCTCCGAGCTTGAGGGGCCTTGCAAGTCCTATAAAATCAAGGCAGACTCCGAAGGATCGAAGCTTCGACTCAGAGTGCTCAATCTCATATTGGGATAGACAAAGCACATGCAGATGATGATTTCAGTTTGCATTAGAGAAAGATAATTTGGTTAGTGTGTTGTTTGGGTTGGATTGCAGAAGTGATATTTATAAATTACAAGTGAAGCCCTCTATGAGCACTGCTTCGAGTCGTGTAACATGAAGAGAAATTAGCTCAAATGATCAATTCACAAATCTCAGTTGATGAAATAATCATTCGTAGTATTTGATCAATATGTTGTCAATGTTTGGTCAATACATCATTAAGGTTTGATTAATATGTCGTCAATATTTAATTTTGATCGGTTTCCCAATTAAGATTTCTAAAATGATCATTTCAGTCAGTTTTCAAAATATTTTCACATTTCAGGAAAGAAAAGGCAGCTATGCATATATTTGTTTTAAAAACTTTGGTGTTTGAAACTTGCAAATCACATGTTTTAGAAGCTGTCGGCTTAATATTTATGTTCTCCAGGGCCCAAGATGGGCTAGATACAAGCAAAAGATGATGTGACGAGAATTTCACATTAGATAAGTACAATAATAATCTAAGTCTAAAAATAGATGGTTCACTTAAATTCGCACCGATACTTTTTGTGATAAAAACCTCACACTTAAGGTCTATTGGGCACAGTATTAGGCCTAAGTGATTAAGTTAGAGACAATATTGATTCGTGGCAGCCTTAGGCCCTTAGTAGTAGACGCTTATGGAATCAGTGACACAATAGAATACTTGTCGTCCAAAGATTTCTTAGGGAAAGAAGGGGGGCTTTTGGTTGAAATAATCCACTTTTGATTGCTGAAATGTTTCTATTTTATCATCTTATTGTTATATCGTCATTGCATTGTCCATAAATGATCGATTTGTCATGAATACTTAATTTCCTTTATTCAGCGGCAAATGTAAAAAATGGATTAGTTTAGTTAATTGCCCGAAAAAAGGCCTAGGAGAGCCCACGCAAATCTAAAAAGGGGGTACATGTTGGGCGTGATTTGACCACCCCAGACCCAAAGGAAAGAGTACCATAACAATAAGCCCAAACCTAAACTTTTTTTTTTTTTTCTTTTGCTCTCTCTCTCTCTCAGAGTCTTTTCTCTCTCTCTTGAGAGTCTTTCTCACCTCTCTGTGTGAGTTTTTTCATCATTGCTTTTTTTTTTTCCCAGCCGCAGGCCCAAGCTCCGGCAAAGGGTCGGTGGCAATCCTCTGCTTGTTTTCCTTGTTCTTTTTCCTTTCTTTTTGCTTCAATTTTCCACTGCCTACTTTTCCTTTCCGCCTTGCTCTTCCACCCTTTCCCCGGCAAGGGTCGTGGATACTTAATTTCCTTAATTCAGCAACAAATGTAAAAAATGGATCAGTTTGGTTAATTGCCCGAAAGAAAGGCTAGCAGAGCCCACGCAAATCTTAAAATGGGATACCTGTTGGGTGTGGTTTGACCACCCTAAACCCAAAGGAAAGAGTACCATAACAATAAGCCCAAACCTAAACATTTTTTTCCCAGGGGTCAAGGGTGTGGAAACCTAAAGAGTGATGCTGTCCTTAATACGTAAAATCCTCACCTAATTACCATCAACTTTGACAGGCGATTCTTTACATTTTGAGTATAATTTTCTAAAGTTATATATCCATCTGCTAATTCTCCAACGCAAGCCAAAACACCCTACACATCTAGAGCAAAAATAAATAAAAATGTTCTCTGTCGTTGGCCCTTGTCATTAGCCCTGGGGTCGGCAGCAAATTTCTTGACAATCACTCTTAGTCTCTTTTCTCTCTCTTTTTGTTTATATAGTCGTCATGGTAGTCGTCATTTTTTAGCCCACATACAAAGTAAACGCAAGGTTTTGGTCCAGTTATCTTCTTCGATATGGGGTTGAAGCTAGAAGTCATGGAAGATGTATTGCATCGGAATTAGGTTTAGCTAGTGCAACATTATGGGCTTAGCTGGCATGGTTATATGGATGTTGGAAGTCCAGAGAATATGGAGCGACGACATGGTTTTTTTTCCTTTTATTTTGATTTTGTTTAGTTTCCAAGAATTGTCTTGGAGTTAAGTTTTGATTTCTCTGTTTATGAAAGTTTATAGTTTGATTTCTCTCAATAGGAGGGTTGCTTCATATCAAATTTCAATCTACATCTCTTTTGGATCTTTGTGTGAAGGGTGGAACTATATGATTTGCTAGATCTACTTGGTGTTCTGGGATCGTAATGGTGATGGGGTGGTGCTTGTACTCCCTATCTCAATATATGATTTGAGATTTTTGTTCTCACATAATCTCCGTGTAACACGTGGTTTAAAGGTTTTATTAATCTGTGTAATCTTGCATTTTCCGATGAGCTCAGACGAGCACTTGATGTCTACTCATTACTTTGCAATTGATGATGCTTTATTATAATATTTTTAGATCTAATTTACAAAGACCCTTTGGAGCAGAATTCTTCAATATATATGTAATGCTCTTTTTTTTCAATGACTAAAATATCGTTTTAAAAAATAATAACCGATCATCTATTTTTTTAAAGGAAATATCCATCTCTACTTTTTTTAATCAAGTCAATTAAACAGTTTGAAACAGTTGTTACTTTGTCCATGTCATTCAGACAAAAGTATTGAAGTCTGTGGAATCATAAATATTTCGCCTGGTGGGTTAGTTAAAAAGTCTATATGAAATAAATAGAAGGCTTACCTTTTTTTTTTTTTTTTTTTGGTAAACATAGAAGGCTTACTTGTAACTACAGCACGTCGGCACCTACACTTACTGGCGGATCCATTTAAGGGGCAAGGAGTCAACCGACCGGATGGCTTGGGCACTGTTTTTTTGGAGATTGGATTTGCCCTTCATACATGTCCTTTGCTTACTTGATAAAAATGTATGTCATTCTTATTATTATTTTTAATAGAAAATGAACACATACTTTGTGTGTGAACAATTTAATTTTCTTTTTTGTTTTTGATTAAGGAGTGTGATTAGTTTTTAATTTTTTTTTTTTTAAAGTATGAGACAATGATGATGAGATCCCTTAATAAGCCCATATTTTTCTTAATATTACATAATTACCATTTTACCCTCTTTATGTAAAAAGATGAGCACACACTTTGTACGGAAACAATTTCATTTTCTTTTTTGTTTTTGATTAAGGAGTGTGATTAGTTTTTAATTTTTTTTTTTAAAGTATGAGACAATGATGATGAGATCTCTTAATAAGGGCATATTTTTCTTAATATGATTGTCATTTTCTCAAAAGATACAAAATTACTATTTTGCCCTCCTTATGTAAGTATTGTGTATTCAAAAGTAAGGGCAAAATTGAAAAAAAATGGCAAAAAGTTGACAATGAGGGTTCTCTTAATAGAATAGAATAGATTATCAACTTGGGCATTATATTCTGGTGGGTAGGGGGGTGAGGGGGGATAGGAAGGCAATAGAGTATATAATCATGTGAGTTTGCAAACTGTACTGACTTTGGTTCCAAGGGTTGCTACTGCTTTAGCGAGAAGAGCCTTTTCTGCTATGAATATTGTGAAGAGTCTAGTGCATAACCAAATAGGAGATTAATAGTTGAGTGGTATCATGATATTTTATATTGAGAACAATGTATTTTCTTCTATTGATACTGAAGCTATAATGCAATGTTTTCAAAATATGAAAACGCGTTGTGGACAATTCAACTTTTATTGTCATTTGTTCTATAAATTATGAATGGTGCAACTATGGCTTAATTTTTAAGGTTATTATGTCTAAGAAATGTTTGTGAATTTTACATGTGACCCTCTGAATACTTTTTCTTGGATCCGCCACTGTCTGTACTCTTCACTAAATCTCACTTTATTCCCTACATTCTATATTGTCTCAATTTACCACCTGCACTTTTCCTCTGTAACTCACGTTACTCTATTCCCTTTAAGGATGTCCTTATTATGCTGGTGTAGTGTGGTCTGTGACATGGCATGTTAGTAGAACCCATGGGTAAAGGAGTGGGTTAAACTCAAGCAAAGTTTATTTTGTTTAGATTAAGAGAAGGGAAAAAAAAAGGCAACAACAGAGGGAAAAATTAAGAGAAGGGAAAAATAAACCCTTGTTTGAGATTAACCCACCCTTTTACTCGTGGGTCCCACTAATATGTCATGTCGCTTGTCACACAACCAAAATAAGTGAAAAGACTAAATTATCCATGCCATTCAGCATAACTAACATCATACTTAGCTTTTTTAACGGAATAGAGTAAAGTGAGACACGGTGAAAAAGTGCAGGTGGTAAAGTGAGACAATAAAAAGTATAAAGTGTAAACTAAGATTTAGTGGGAGTACAATTGTCGTAGCTAAAAATAAAACTAAATAAAATATAGAGCAATCAAATATAAGATGAATTTGAATTTGACATTGTCATATTTGGTGAATCACTCAACCTAATCATGTTAGACAAGGAAAGGAAGTTGGTTTGTAATTCATAAAGTGTTGAACACTAGTTTATGCACAAAGCAATAATATAGTGTTGAATTTACTTACATTTTGGCCTGTAACTAATTAGTATCAAAGGCTATCATGTTTACAAGAGAAAGTGATGGTCTCGTACATTGGACCGTTGCAAGTCAATTTCACACAGAGGTTAATTAAGAGTGTACGCATAATACATTCATCTTCTGGAAGATCAAGACTTTCGATTCAACCTTTTCAGATTGCATATATGCACTACAATTTCATGCTTCAAAGGAATTATAATTGAATTGTCTACCACCATCCACGAATATACAATTAGAATTCGGACATCCAAGCTTTTGACATATATTTTAACGCATATTTTATAGGGTTCATATATATTTCAACGATCCAACTGTTTATTTTTTATGTCTTACCTCAAAGATCATGTCTACCAAAAATCACTCAAATCCAAAATCATAGGACCGTTGGATTATTTAGTGTTTGTTGTAGAACTGTATTTGTCTATTTCTTAACTACAAATGAATGTCTTAATACTTTTGTGAACACGAAAAATTCCTGAAAACAAGAAACAAGAATATGTGTACAAAATAATATTTTTGTGTTTAATGATTTTGGGGTTACAATCTCTTTGTAATTTGATCCTCTGATTCTATCTTCGTAGGGTGTAGGTTTGTGGATGAGTTGTTGATCCAAAGGGCCGTCGGAGCTTGATCTAAGGATGAATAGTTGATGAATGGATCTTCAAGGGGCGTTGGGCTTGATCTTGAAGAATGGGTGTATGGGTTTGTTGAGGTTGTT